AAAAAAAAAAAATCTCCTGCTTTTTTATGTGCAGGTTTTTTAAGATTATGTATTTATTTGCCCAGGAATTATACATAATACGCAGTAAACATTTTTGAAAATGTCCTCCTTTGGCAATTCAAATTAATGAGGCAACAAAACTGTCTGTCTACTCAGAAACTCTGTATGGAAGATTCGATGTTACCGGGATATTTCTGGGATGTACCCATGCGGCGGAATAACTACGTCAGGCGTTTTGATTTCTAGCTTTAGGCTCCTCGGTTAATAACCAGCACTTCGGTATTCTAATTAGCCACTGTTCCTCTACCACGTTTCTTCTCGCGTTGATGCAGTTGGCAGCGTTTCCATTCTCTTTTTTGAGCTTTTCTTATCCACGAAATCTCGCGCGATCGTTGAAATAAAATTTTCCACGATATTTTTAGTGTTATCTGTGTTCTTTTAGCATGGGCATAGCTCTTCCGAGCTTTACGATTTCGAGCTAAATGACTCTAGTTTTAGCACTTACCATTCATTTGATGTATGAGCGTTGCAGTGTATTCAGCAGTTCCTATTTTTACAAATGCGTACAAACACCATTCTGGCACAGTGCTGAAGAGATATTATGCCGAAAAGTTCTAATCCATATAAGGCGAATTCGTTAATGTTATGCAACCCCATAAGCGACAGCGGATTTACGTCGGAATTCAAAGAATATTTAAAGATTTTATACTGAAAATTTACAGAAGCTTTCGTTTTCTTCAGACTCTTCAGTGAGGCATGAGGCATTATAAAAAATCGCTTAGTTCAATCGTCATTTTCAGGACTTTTGTTTCAAAATTTTGTACCAAAATTAACCACGATAGCTTATTGCTGATGCATTTTGAATGTTTTTTTTTTTTGTGAAAAGGTGAACTGTTGATCTCACAAACGCCTATGGCAAGTTTTGTATATATTTCAGGCAATATTATCATCTTAGTAATACTGCCTCCTGTTTCTCCTTCAAAGCTCAATCGAAACATATGCAAAAGAACGGGGACAAAGCTTCCGATTTCCCGGAGGCACCGCAGACTGATACTGCAACAGGTGCCGCTGTTGCTGTTAGTGTTATTTCGGAAATAACAGTTTCGGATGTTACCGGCTCATCGTCGTCATCGTCCCCTCCGGTTGAACTGTCACGTGAAGCTGCAGCACCCATTTACGCAAAGCCACGCGGAAGCGGGAAAGCAGTTTACAAAACGGATTTTGACGAAGATGGACGACGTGTGGCGAATTATGTCCTGTTCGAAGACTCAATGGCAAAAGCGAAAGTTCCCTGGCAGGCGTACTCTGGGATGACCGCCGAAGAACGTGATATTTATATGGCGCATCTGAAAGCCGTTCGTGAACGACGACTCACTTACAAAGATCCGAAAACTGGCTATACTGTAATGACCGTTTCGCAACTTTTGCTAAATGGGAAGTGTTGCGGTAGCGGTTGTCGTCATTGTCCGTACCAGCATGAAAATGCTGCTCCAGAAATTCGAAAGTCCAAAATATGGAATGGCGCTTTTTATGTCTAGGATATTGAAAGTAGCAGCCGAAGATCGCTTCAAAGGTCCCTCAGTTGCCTTCGTTTGCTGAAAACTCTTGTGCTGTTGGATTTTACTGAACTCCAATTTTAAAAGACCTTACGGGTATTCAGTGCGCATTTTCGCTGAGATAGGCTTGAGCATTTTTTTTTTTTTTGTTTATATATACCATCGACGGATTTATGTCTGGACATATGCTGTGACCATAATACTTGAAAAAAATTTGTTGATGGTTCGATAAGTTTCAAACTTTTCCATGAACAGAAATCGGATGACTTTCAAGTCGTAAGAGTTGTACTTGCATCAAAGTTAACACCTAGCTGTCCAGATTTGTCAGGATCACCGGAGTTCTCGTTTGAACTTCTAGTAAGGAGTTTTAGAGATGTCAGACATTGAGATGGCAAACAGATCGGAGCGGTTGTTAAATTCAAAATTTTGAGAATTTGGATTCTGTGACTTTTTTCGGCAATTATGTGTTATGCGCTGTCTTTACTCGGATTGAAAACTATTGTAGTTACGGTTCTTCCATTGTATTCGATCAGTTAAAATCACTTCAAACTATGTCTGTTTTCAGTCATTCAATCAGTCCACTGTTAGTAATTTTTGCATCTCGGAAGTTCCATTCGAAAGCTCTTCTATGCAACTGATAATGCAGATAGAAATCGATAAAACGGATTTCAGCGAACTGACTGGGTGATGAGATTTTGCGAACTAGGCTGAGAAGAAGGAGGGGGGAAAGGGGGGA